AACGTATGGACGTTTTCCACAATAGGGGTCAAACGTAGGGACGTTTTGCGCTATTAAGCCTTTAATTTATGAAGAACCGCTCGGTTCGGTTCGGGTTCGGTTCGGTTCGGTCCGGTCCGGTCCGGTTCGGTTCGAGACTTTTGGACACCCCTACTTCCCAACCCAAGGCTAAAATAATGAAAATTGTTGAATTTTGGGCAGTTCTTGTCTGGTGGGCAATCTGAAGTGGAGGCAACACTGAACTTGAATTTCATGAACCAAGCTCCCAACCCATGGCATGTTTTGTTCTCATACGCAAGGGCACTCCAAAACACGTGCTTGAAGACATGGGCGGGACGTCCAGATAATGTGAAGGCAGCTCAAGATGCTTTGCATGTTCGGGCCAAGGCTAACTCTCTTGCTCAGCTTGGGAAATACACTGGTGAGGAGAATCAAACGAAGCCAAAAAGGGAAAGTTTTTAAGGGCTGTGTCTACTCAGCTTATTGCACTATCAAATCTATAGACGAAGGAGAAGAAGATAGTTGTGAAGGGAGAAGAAGAGATGCGCGTTGCAATGGTTTATAGCAGGGGAGATTATTTTTGTTCATTACGTGGATTTGTAACCACTTATAAAACATAACATCGATAAGGACTAGTCTATTGTATTCAATGTCATCATAAATAATTTTTTTCGACTCGTGGCTTGTGAACAAGACTTGTGATCAAAACTTTGTCTTTCAGGTTGCTTAGGCCATAAGATTTAGTTAACCTCGTAAAACTAAGCACTTGGATGTGCAGATTGAATGAACAATTGTCCAAGTCTTAAAATTGAGTTTTCCTTGTGTGTACTTGAGAATTATGGTCCTAAAATTGTTTATGCAATTGAATATATAATGATTAATATTGTTCTAAAATCTGATAATCATGTGACATGACGTCAGTCCTTGATTCAACTGTTAAAAATTTGCAATAGAGTATTTTAAATAGTGATATGATAAGAAATATGTGGTTAAAAAGTAAGAAAAAATTATTGATGTGATGAAAAATATTATTTTATTGAAGAATGTGTGGTTGAAAACAAGTTTTGAAAGAATATATTTTCAAGAACATGTCAAAATGGGGTTAATTATAGAAAAACGTACAATTTCAGCAGTATTTTTCAATAAAAAAGGCACACTCGAGCATTTTATAATTAGTTAATTAAGAAAGAGATATTTCGATAAAAAGTAAAAACACTGAAAAAAAATCTTATTTTGAGAAGAACCAGTTAAATTAGAATTTGAATGCATTATTATTGTTAGGAAATCAAGAATATTTCATAATTTCAAAGTGAAATATCTCACTAAAAGAATTATTATAAAATTAAAATGCCCTAATCATTTTTATTTGGTCCAACCACCTTCCTTCCCACCATTAGGTTGGTGATGATGGCAATATCCCATTACCATTCTTCCTAACTTTAGTAGTGTGACAATCATAACTAATTCTAATTTTTTTGGGCCTTTTGCCATAATTTCACTAGAGTATTAGTCCACAATGAATATTACATACTTTTTGACTCCTCTCTTTTTGGGTGCGGATTTGCACAACATTATCATAGTTTTCTTCATTTTTGTCATTGAAATTGGGATCCATTGAATCGTGAATGGTCCATGTAATTGGTAATTAGTCTGACTTTCTAATTTGATTCCTTCAACACCTTGCCCAAAAAGAGTTTTGTAATGATTTAATCACATCACTCCAAGAACTAATAAATCATTTTGATGGCATTTCTTACTTTTCCTTCTCTCTTTTTATCGTGTTGGGAAGAAACTCGATAATTGTTCATGTGACATAATGATTCAACACATGAAAATTTTTGAGAACCCAACGATCCAGATTCAATTTTTAACTACACTTTAGATAGAATCTCTATTGCTCGTGCGATAAAAATGAAAAGTTACAGATTAAAATGATTTGATTTAAAAGTGGGGAACGGAAATACAGTATGAAAAATGGGATAGGAAAATTGTGCGCCAATTAACTAGTAGGTCGAAGGGAGCAAACGAGAGTGCCTACCATTTTATTAAATTTTACTCGGTTTGGTACAAATTAAAATCTGATTTTAATTTAAATCAAAGTCAAACAATTAATATTAACCACATCTTTCATGTGTCCCACAGCTATTCAACCGTACATTTCAAAAATTTCTATCACAATCTACTAAAAATCTAATTTTAATTCCTGCCAAACACCCTCTTAAATACTTCTCTATACATAGTCAACCTATGTTATTATATTGTATGGCAAAAAACAATTAGTTGACAAAGATTTAAAAAATTAATGTTGACAAAATATTTCTATATGTTTTAATTTTTATATTATATGCTATAATACAAGTTCAGTGGCTTTAGACAGTGATACTCCACGAGCACTTCGCTAAAGCATTTTGAGTTACTTTCGTAGACTGAACTTTAGATAAAATCTCAATTGGATCATATAATTTTAATATGTCACATTTAAATCACTAAAATGTTAGTTTAGGTTCCTAAACTTAACGTCTCAATCTCATGTGAAAAATTGAGATTTGACGGCAAATCTAAAGGTCTTAAGGTTTCAAGTAAATATGTCACTTGGTCAAGTCATGCTTTCAAAATTTGAAAATATATCATCATCTGCCAAGATCACAATCAAGTGTCGTATAGGTTGTGTGTGGGAAGAATTTTATATCAGATTTTAATCATTTTTATAAACGTTGCACCAGCACCCAACCCTTTTTTTATTTTTGGAATTCCTCTCTCACATTGGGCCCATTTGCAGTTTCACAACGGTAAAATTTCTGCTGAAAATCTTTCACAAATTGGTGCTAGACAGGCGCTATAGTTTCAAATTTTGCTGTCAATGCTTAATTATATCACATTTATATATATATATATATATATATACACACACACTAGGTGCAAGCAACGTACAATACACGTTTGCGTAGTTTATATTTAATAGTTTTATTTAAGAGTCAATTTGTTATTAATAAAGATGTAATTTTTTTGTTAATTAAATAATTAATGATGTAATATTTATGTAATTGATAAATAATTAAATAAA